CTTTCTTTTCTCCTCCTACACCATTTCCTTTCCATCTCATAATCCATCTGTCTCCCACATACATACTTTCACATAAAACACATCAACAACCAATCATGATTCCCATAGCACATGCATGTCACAACCAGCTGGATTTCACGTGTGTCGGGAGAAAGGCACATGCAAAACGTGTCTGGATGTCCTTTTCCATGAATTGTGTGGGATTTTGAGTTTTGAATATGTCTAATTCAGCAATATGACGTATGTTAGTAATCCAAAATGAGATGTGAAAGATAAAAAGGAAGTGAAAATCAAATTGAATGTAGATTAAAGAGATGTATAACATGACTGGAGAAGACAAACAATACGCCGTCATTTTGAATGGGTCAAAAGTTCCCTTTTACAGTAATACAAGACCAAGCTAAAGACTATTACAGGTCAAATAGATTATTTTAGGTAAGTTATAAAAGTTATTAATTAAATCACACACTGTAGCATGTTTATAGTCTAATACAGTCAAATAAAATCAACTCACTATCTAAAAAAGACACATTGTGACTTAATGGTGTTGTTTTTTACAGTGTGTAAACCTGGATAAACTTGAACCTGTGAGCACAGAGGAGAAACTGGTGAACGAGTCCATAAGTCTCCTGGATAACAGAAAATTTTGGGCGGGAATTGTGTTTTTGGACATGCAGTCCAACAGCTCTGAACTTCCCCCACACGTCAATTACAAGATCCGCATGGACATTGACAATGTGGAGCGCACAAACAAGATTAAAGATGGGTAAGTCAGTGTTTTCTTTTCTTAACTGCCCAATGATGGAGACTAGATAGTATGCTGTGAAATCACATGCTTATTGTGTTTTTTTTGTTTGCAGGTATTGGGATCCTGGTCCCAGGGCTGATCCGTTTGAGGATTTGCGGTATATTTGGGGAGGATTTACTTACCTTCAGGATGTAGTTGAACACAGCATCATCAGAGCAATTACTGGGACCAAAGAGAAGACTGGTGTTTACATCCAACAGATGC